ACCCCCTTTTTCCATTCCAACGCCCCCCCCCCCCAAAAAAAGTGAAGCCAAGGATTGGGGAGGGGGGCTTTCTTCCTCTCCTGCCGCCCCTCCTCGCCCCGGCTTTGCAAAGGCGCCCGGCTCGCTTCCCACGTTCCCGCAAGACGCGCGGTGGGTCGTGCGCCCTGGAGAGAGGCGGTGCGGTGCGCGCGGCTTACCTGCCAGGAGGCCCAGCGCCCAGGCTGCGGCCAGCAGCCCTGGGGAGAAGTCCATGGGAGCGCCCGTCGTCGAGGGTCCCGGGGGCGGCCGGCCCCAACCCTCGGCCGCAGGCAGGCGGCGCGCCAGACCGGGAGCCCAGCTCTGCGCGAAGCTCCGCGCGTCTCTCCCCGGCGCCCGGACAGCCGCGGCTCCTGCAGAGGAAGTGGGAGGGGAGGAAGGAGGCGCGGCCCGGCCGCCCAGACACCCTTTAGGGGACACACCTCGCCGGCCGGGACGCCCCCCCCCCCCCCCCCCCGCCCCCCGCAGGGATTTGCTCGCCGGCTAGCTCTCCGCCCTGCCGTTCCAATGGAACCTCCACGCTGAGAGGAAGTCTACCTCTGAATGCAGAAAGCTGGGGACTCACAAGGTTCTCATTGGAGCAGAGTTCGAGTCCTGGGCAGTGTTCCCTCTAAGCTGAGTTGGTGTGAGCTAGCTCACCGTTTTTTTAGCTTCCAGCTCACACATTTTTGCCTCGCTCAAGAAGGAGGGCTCCAGAGCAGACTGATTTAGGCAGCAGCCAAATTGCTCGCTCACAACTTTAAGGCCAGTCGCTCACCAAGTAGGATTTTTGATCACAAGACTCCACAGCTGAGAGGGAGCGTTGACTCCCGGGGCGCCTTTAAGAACAACACAGTTTAATTCTGGGATTCAGCTTCGTGGGTCTTCAAGAGGCGCCCCTGGGCTCCAGCTTTTTGCCCTGTTGCTTCAGACCAACAGGGCTGCCCCACCTGGATTTTGTTTTAATGTTTCATATGTAATTGAATGCTGTTTTAAAAATCATTTTAATGATTTTAATGTGTGTGTTTTATGGCGAGGTTGATTTCAAGGTTTTAAAATGTGATTTGATTGTGGAATGTTTTCAATTGTGAGCTTGGTGGCCCCAATAAGGGCAGAAAGGCGGGGTGCAAATTTTGTAAAGACGTAAAAATCAATAAGGAGTCTGGCCTTGCCAGAGATGGGGGGAAAGAGACTCTCCCCAACTGATGTCAGGGCAGCAGAGGGTAGTGGTCCGATTCCCAGTTTCTCACTCAAAAATGTCCAGTCCTGACCTGGATAGCCCAGGCAAGCCCAATCTTGTCAGATCTCAGAAGCTAAGCAGGGCCGACCCGGGCAAGTACTTGGAAGGGCGATCTCTAAGGGATACCAGGGCCAGACCAAGGCTCCCTCTAAGCTGTGGAGTCCTGTGAGCAGAAATTCTACTCTGTGAGCAAGTGGCATTGAAGTTGTGGGTGAGCGATTTGGCTGCTGCATACATTAGTTTGCTCTGGAGCCACATCCTTCCTGAGCGAAGACAACAATGTGTAAGCCGGAGGCTAAGAAACTGTGAGCTGGCTCACACCAACTCAGCTTAGAGGGAACCCTGGCCAGGACACAGAGGCAGGCAGTATCAGAGTGACCTCTCTGAAACATCCTAGCCCCACTAGGGATCGTCAGAAGCCACCATGACTTCCAGGCTCACAAGCACACAAACACACACACACAATACTAAAAAAAAATTTTTTTTTAATCACCAGTCCTTTGATCCAGTATAGAAGAAGACGAGGAGGAGATTGGATTTATACCCCACCCTTCACTACCCAAAGGAGTCTCAGAGTAGTTTACAATCTCCTTCCCCCTTCCCCTCCCCACAACAGGCACCCTGTGAGGTAGACAGGGCTGAGAGAGCTCTCTTGAGGACTGCTCCTGAGAGAACAGCTCCGAGAGAGCTTGTGACTGACCCAAAGTCACACCAGCAGCTGCACGTGGAGACATGGGGAATCAAACCTGGTTCTACCAGATTAGAGTCCACGCTCCTAACCACTACACCAAACTGGCTCTCTCAGAGAGGTTGCTATTGGTGGCAATGGCACATGATGATGCCATGCTCGGAATCGCTCCTCCCCACACCACCCTGAATGTCCCTGGTTTGCAGAAACAAAACCAATTCAAGCAGATCCCCCCACTCGTCCGAACGCACCTGTTAGCTCCTCCTTACATAGCGTGCGATTCAGTGCAGGAGATGATGGTGGTGAAGAAGGAGAAGGAGGAGGAGGAGGGCTGGTTTTTATACCCAGCTTTTCTCTACCTTTTACGGCGTCTCAAAGTGGCTTTCAGTCACCTTTCCTTTCCTCTCCCCACGACAGGCACCTTGTGAGGGGTAGGTGGGGCTGAGAGAGTTCTGAGAGAGAGACCTGGGACTGGCCCAAGGTCACTCAGCAGGCTTCATACATGTTGGAGTTTCAAGTTGCTTACACTTCAGTCATTACAGAGTTAATTGTTGTTTGTTAGGAAATAGGATGTTACGTTACATAATGTATTCCACTGCGGGAAAGTTTGTGGGAGTTGCTTACCCTAATGAAGTGACCTGTAACCTTTGTACTGGTCAACTAACAACTTGCTTGTGGAAATGCTTTGATCTAGCATTCACGTATTCACAAGCTTTATGGCTCTTTGTGTGAAGCAGACAGGAAGCTCCCCTATAGACGACGACAGATAGATAGATAGAAAGATGTAGCTCTTAGCATTTAGTACTGAAAGTAACTGCAAGTATGTAACCTTTTCATTTTATTTCTTTTATCCAAAGTACCTTACCCATGCTTTATTCTGTTTGTAGTAAAGATATTTTTCTTTTACTAATGTGGCTCTTGTGTTTGCAAAACGACCATCGATCTTGAATCTCAGAATCCCAACAATATGGAGGAGGAGTGGGGAAATCAAACCCCCCACCGTTCTCCAGATTAGAGTCTGCTGCTCTTAACCCCTACACCACGCTGGCTAATGGCGGGGGTGTCCTTTTTTATGGTTGGGGAGAAGGCTGGCCAAAAGGATTAGACCACCAGCCCCCCCTTCCCAGCTGTGGCCAAGATATGGATCCCCTGAGGAGAGGCCAGCATGTGTACCGGATCAGACAGAGGACAGGATTGTGGAGTCGTTTCAGGAAGAGGAAACAGCAGGGGGGAGAAGTATTAAATCCCTTCTCCCCGTGCCATGGTCCCAGTCCAGGTTTTAATTAAGCCTTCGAGCTCGTTCGCAGAACTCCAGGCCTGCAGCCCAAGTTGGTCTAAAGAGACAGAGGAGAAGCTGCTCGGGTGCTATGAGCCAGGAGAGCTAAATGGAGCTTCCGTGTTCTTAGAATGTCACAGAATCCTGGATTATTCTGCACAGAAGCCACAGGCTAGGGGGGGCCATCACTAAAAAGGCCCTGCATGGTTTTTGTAATACTCAGTAAGAAAAATAAGAACACACCGTTTGTTTACAATGTATTTGAGCCAGTTTGGTGTAGTGGTGAAGTGCACGGACTCTAATCTGGGTGAACCGGGTTTGATTCCCCACTCCTCCACGTGCAGCTGCTGGTGTGACCTTGGGTTGGTCACAAGTTCTCTCAGAGCAGTCCTCGAAAGAGCTCTCAATAAGTGGGTTTTGGGTCGCAGACACCTACCTCACAGGGTGTCTGTTGTGGGAAGGGAAAGGCATTTGTAAGCCGCTCTGAGACACCTTTGGGTAGTGAAGGGCGGGGTATACATCCAATCTCTTCTTCTTCAACCTCACAGGGTGTCTGTTGTGGGGAGAGGAAGGGAAAGGAGTCTGTAAACCGCTCTGAGACTCCTTCGGGTAGTGAAGGGCGGGGCATAAATCCAATCTCTTCTCTTCTCCTCTTCTAAAGATGTCTCAGAGAAACACAAACGTTCTGCTTTGAAAAGCTAACAACAAACTCGTCAATTGCTGTTCTTCTAGCCTGAAAGTTAACTCCAGGAACGTTTTGAGAGCCTTCAGCCTGCCTCTGAAGCCTGTTTTATGGTAACATTTGCCCTCAGTGCTGCACTTTCTCCGTTTCTCCACAGGGCACACCCTGGAACCTCCCAGTAGGTGACCACATTTTCTACGGGCCCCGATCAATGTTCCCTCTAAGCTGTGGAGTCCTGTGAGCAAAAATCCTACTTTGTGAGCTGCTGGCATTAAAGTGGTGAGCGAGCGATTGGGCTGCTGCCTAAATTAGTTTGCTCTGGAGCCCTCCTTCCTGGGCTAAGACAAAAATGTGTGAGCTGGAGGCTAAAAAACGTTGAGCTGGCTCACACCAACTCAGCTTAGAGGGAACACTGGCCCCGATCATGTGCCTCTAATGGCAGGATGATGTTAGAAACTCAGAAATGGAACTATCCTTGCAGGGAGGTCATGTGAGTCACGATGGTATTACGGAGTTGTGATGGTCAGATAAGGCGGTAGCTTTACACCCCAAGATCTCATCAGAATACATCTACTCTTCGGCTCTGTGCCATCACTGATGTAGATTTCATTGATAATATCAGGGGAGGGGCCCTGGCTCAGTGGAAGAGCCTCTGCTTGGCATGCAGAAGGTCCCAGGTTCAATCCCCGGCATCTCCAGTTAAAAAGACCGGGCAGGAGGTGATGGGAAAGACCTTTCTCTGCCTGAGACCCTGGAGAGCTGTGAAGAGGGGCTGTGGCTCAGTGGCTGAGCCTCTGCTTGGCATGCAGAAGGTCCCAGGTTCAGTCCCCGGCATCTCCAGTTAAAAGGACCGGGCAGCAGGTGATGTGAAAGACCTCTGCCTGAGACCCTGGAGAGATGCTGCCAGTCTGAGTAGACAATACTGACCTTCGTGGAACAAGGATCTGATTCACTACCAGGCCGCTTCCTGTGTTCATCACTTGGGACAAGAGTTGATGTAATGTTACCCAAGGTCAAAGATATGGCTAGGGGGCTGCAGGAGAGGTTGAGGGGCTGTGGATCAGTGGTAGAGCACCTGCGTGGCATGCAGAAGGTCCCAGGTTCAATCCCCGGCATCTCCAGCTGAAACCATCAACTAATAGGTGACGAGAAAGGCCTCCACCTTAGACCCTTTCTGACAGTATTGACCTTAGGACTCCGCATAAGACCACTTCCTGTGTTCCTGTTGTGTTCTGCCCCGGAAAAGAGTTTGAAATCTCCGAGTCTCGTCTCCAAGTCTACTCCTGCTCTTGCTGTGATTTTCCTGCCATATAGCAGCAACTTCACAGTTTGCTTGCTTCTGGGATGAAGTGTTCACGCGACGAACAAAGACCCAGCCAGCGTATTCTCCTTCTGAAGAATGTCTCCCATGTTCCTGGCCTGCTAATAATGAACGCAAAGCCCCAGAAACAGATGAATTTCCATGGCGGGGGGTGGGGTGGGGAGTGGTTTGCCAAACTTTTCCAGGGCTGTCTAGCATGCACGGTGAAACGGATAGCTCTCTAACTCTCTGGGACGAATACTAGAAATACCTTTAGCAGACCCGCTTTTGAGGCACAGCTTTCCAGGTGGGCCAAGAAACCTGCAGAGGATTCGGCGTGACGCTCGCACGATCATGTTCCTCGTAAACTTTTCTGCAGAAGCCTTCGGCCGAGGACTTGGCAGCCGTTGAAACGTCTTCATTGGGAACCTGCTCCAGTGGAAAGAGGAGAATGAGCCCTGTAATATGGTTTTCCGAGGATTGGCATTTGAAGCCTGCCAAGATTCCAAATCTCCTACCCAGTCTTTTTTTCTTCTTCTCCAGGAATCACAGAAATGAGCGGGAGCATCCCCCAGAGACCATTAAATCCAGGCAAACTATGACATAGGTTGGGAAGTAGCCAAAGCGCCGGTGGGCACCAGACCGGGGCATGCACCTTAAGAGAATCGACAGCATCTGCCCTGCCAGACTTTGAGGACAAGGAAGTCCCAGGGAGAGAACCTGGGCCTTTACTGCCAAGTCCAAGGGAAATCCCGCACGGAGAGTCCACATGATGCTCATTAGAGACGCAGGGGCAGTGGGGGGATACCTGCACAGCTCAGTGTAGCCTATTGCAGGAATTACATTTGGATATCCGTACCTCTGTTTCCTCCTCTTTCCGATACTAAAATCAGAACGTTTGGCTTCAGGGGCTTACATTCCCCCCCACCCCATGGGCTTTAAACGTTACCTCTTGTGAAGAGAGGAGGTTAAGACGCTGAGCTGCAAGCTGTGGAAGGTCAGTAGTTCAGCAGTTCGAGACCCGGGAGCCGCATGACGGCGTGAGCTCCCGTCTCTAGTTCCAGCTCCTGCCAACCTAGCAGTTCGAAAGCAAGACATTGCAAGTAGATCAATAGGTACCACTCCGGTGGGAAGGTCACAGCATTCCGTGCACCTTGGTGTTTAGTCATGCTGACCACATGACCATGGAAACGTCTTTGGACAGCGCTGGCTCTTCGGCTTGGAAACGGAGATGAGCACCGCAACCCTAGAGTCAGATTCGACTGGCTTTCAAGCAAGGGAAACCTTTACCTTGTGAAGAGAACAAATGTAGAAATGCATTGAGACAGAAGGACATGCATTTTGGGGTACCTTTGTGTCCCCCTCCCCCTTTTGCATATCCAGCCCAGCAAGGCAGCCTGTTCCTCATGGATTTCCCCTTCCCCCGGCCCGTAGCCAGGAGTTTGTGGCTTGTGGAGCAAATGTTTTTTTCTTGGCGGCGCTGAAGTTCTCAGTGCAGAAAGGAAAAAGAAATCTAGCCAATAGAAAGCGGTGGCCAGGGTAGATCCTTAAATTGCAAGCTGTCAGCCACTTTAGATGACAGTTCTCAGCAGCTGCAAGTTAATCACTTCTGCCAGCCTGAGCAACAATCCTGATACCAAGCCAGCAGGTGAGGGTGATGTCTTCTAGAGTCAAGAAAGCTGACACTCAGGCAGAAAAACTCTCTTAAAGAAGACCAGTTTCTTGGCACAGAGTTAGAAGGGATCCTAGAGGTCACCTACTCCAACCCCCTTGCTCAGTGCGGGAATTAGTCAGCTACATCCCCCCCACGCTCTGCTTAAAGGAGTGCAGGCCTTTAGAAAATGTTTTAAAATGATTGAAAAAAGCATTTACAGGAGACATTCTTGTGGGGGGGTGCCTTTAAGAAAGGGAGCAGAGCCCCCCAAAGCTCCCACTGTAGCTATGGGCCTGCCCCCCCCCATTCCTCCAGTCCTTCCCAGGGCTGCAGCTAATGGAATTGCCTTGATTCCAAGCTACCTTCGGGATGGAATTCCACATGGATCCCAATCTCCTGGCACACGATGAAGCTTTCCACACAGGTTGCCTGCCCCAGCTTGGATGCTCTTAGGAAGCAGACTACCCCCCCCCACCTCCCCAAATCCATCTGTGCACCTCCTGAGTTTCCCCCAGTTTTGCTGCATTCTTTCCAACACCTGCTTTGCCACAGTCTTTTTGGAAAGATTTCCCATGGAGATGGGAAAGTCCAGATCTTATTTTGGTCTCGCCCCCCATTGGGGCCATTTCCCCTGCCCTGGTCTCAGTGGGACTGAGTGTCTCTCATGGACTTAGTTTATGTGACCAAGCAGGGGTCATTTCGTAGAAAAAGAGGTGCAGGAGCTCATTAGCATAACTTATCTGCATATGCCACGCCCCCTGACATCACCGGAAGTGTGTCAGAAGGCAACACCCACCGCTCAGGCTCCACTGGACTGTGTTGGATTGCTAGCTATTGTGGGGTGTGTGTGAACGTGCAGATCTGTCCTCACAGAGCAGGGAGAGCTTGTACCTGAATAAAACTTGGTCTTAAAGATGCCACTGGACTGTTTTGGATTGCTAGCTATTGGGGGGGGACGTGCAGATCTGTCCTCGCAGAGGAGGGAGAGCTTGTACCTGAATAAAACCTGGTCTTAAAGGTGCCACTGGACTGTTTTGGACTGTTTTGACTCTGCAACTTACCTGGCTGCTTCTTGCTCTGACTGAAGGTTGCAGGGAGCAGGGGGCGGGGCTTGTTGCATGTGCCCGCCCCCTGGGCTCTTTACTGCCGGAGCTCCGCTCCTGTGCGCTCCGGCTGGAAATGACCCCTGTGACCAAGCGTGAAGATTGTTGGGAGACCATTACAGTGCTGTCCAAAGTAGTCTCAACACCCTTCTAACTCTACTGAAGTCAGTGCTTAGGATGACACTGTGGATTCCATAAATGAGTACATATTAGCACAGAAGGATGCTGGTGATCGCTTGATTGCAGTCATCGTCCCCCCCTCCCCCCAAGGATCACTGGAACGCACTTAGATAAAGAATGACCCTTTGGAGTTCATTGAAACAGATTCCGGACACCGTAACCCCAGTGGAATTTACGTCTCTCAAAACACTGTGCTGGCGTGACCCAATGGGACCATTTTGGGGAGAAGGAATAATTTCATAAGTGCAAATACGGAACACTGCAGCTAGATGGTTCTACTTATCTAGTACATTTTTCCTCCTGCTCTTTCTCCCAGCACCCTGAACGGCTCTGTGATGACACACACTAAGTAATCCACTTTCAATCCACTTTCCAACTGGATTTTACTGTGTGAACGGGGAAAATCCAGTTGGAAAGTGGATTTTTTTTTTTAGTGTGTGTGTGATCGCAGCCCCAGTGAAGTTAACGTCTTCAGAAATACTTTGCTTACATGGCCAAATATGTGAATCTCACTTGGAGATAGGTAAGGCAGCAGGTGAAGAGATGCGTCTGTGTGACAGAGTGTTGGACTGGATGGGCCACTGGCCTGATCCGACATTGGCTTCTCTTATGTTCTTATAGGAACCCTCAATCTGGGGCAAGGGATGTTCTGTATTCTTGGTGCTTGGGGGGGGGCAACAGTGGGAGGGCTTCTAGTGTCCTGGCCCCACTGCTGGACCTCCTGAGGGCACCTGGTATTTTTGGCCACTGTGTGACAGAGTGTTGGACAGGATGGGCCATTGGCCTGATCCAACATGGGCTTCTTTTATGTTCTTATAGGAACCCTCAGTCTGGGCCAAGGGATGCTCTGTATTCTTGCTGCCTTGGGTGGGGGGCAACAGTGGGAGGGCTTCTAATGTCCTGGCCCCACTGCTGGACCTCCTGATGGCCCCTGGTATTTCTGGCCCCTATGTGACACAGAGTGTTGGACTGGATGGGCCATTGGCCTGATCCAACATTGGCTTCTCTTATTTTCTTATAGGAACTCTTAGTCTGGGGCAAGTGATGCTCTGTATTCTTGGTGCTGGGGGGGGGCAACAGAGGGAGGGCTCCTAGTGTCCTGGCCCCACTGCTGGACCTCCTGATGGCACCTGGTATTTCTGGCCCCTGTGTGGCAGAGTGTTGGGCTGGATGGGCCATTGGCCTGATCCAACCTTGGCTTATGTTCTTATGGGAACTCTCAGTCTGGGGCAAGGGATGCTCTGTATTCTTGGTGCTGGGGAGGGCAACAGTGGGAGGGCTCCTAGTGTCCTGGCCCCACTGCTGGACCTCCTGATGGCCCCTGGTACTTTTGGCCACTGTGTGACACAGAGTGCTGGACTGGGTGGGCCATTGGCCTGATCCCACGTTGGCTTCTCTTATGTACCCTGGAAATCTGGTTGGTGTTTAAGGAGCTCCGTAGACTTGAACCTAGCATGTCGGTTTGAAAGAGCACCGGCGCTTGACCAGACCAGGCCCCCTGCTCATCATCATCATCTTCATCTCCGGGATGACTTTCCAAGTCTGGAGCAATATTCCTTTCGTCGAGCGAGGGGAGCGGGTCCTGGTGTCCTGGCTTCTCCTCGCACCTGAAGGCCATTTAGGAGCGCTCTAAACTATAGCGGCTTAGGCCGCATGAACTCATCGGGGTCTGCTGGAAACATTAAGCCCGGGCAAGGGGATCGGTCTCCTCACTGTAGCGTTTGGCAGCCTGTCCTGGGCACGCGTTATTTGATCTGCACGGTTGTTTTTTTCCTACGGGAAAGAATCTTTTTATGGCTTCTTTTGCAGTCCCAGACCAGGAGTTCCTTCTTTATTGGCATGGAAGTGGGGAAGGGGGGGGATCCTCTGGAGCGAGCTGCCGATTTCAGAGGCAGCAGGACTCCAGTCCGCCGGAGAAGAATGGAGCGGGGGATGATTTGTGTTGGCTCCCAGCCCGATGAGCTCAGCCCCAAAGCCACATTGAAGCACTTCTGGATCTGGGACGCAGAATCCAGATGCTGTGGCGACCTACCAGCGCCCCCTTGTGGGGAAGAGTGCAAAGGCTTCCTTCTTCCTGAGAAGATGCATATGAGTAAAGGTAAAGGTTCCCTTGCTCGAAAGCCAGTCGAGTCCGACTCTAGGGTTGCGGTGCTCATCTCCGTTCCAAAGCCGAAGAGCCAGCGCTGTCTGAAGACGTTTCCGTGGCCACGTGGCCGGCATGACTAAACACCAATGCGCACGGAACGCTGTTACCTTCCCACTGAAGTGGTACCTATTTATCTACTTGCAATTTCTTGCTTTCGAACTGCTAGGTTGGCAGGAGCTGGAACTAGAGACGGGAGCTCACTCCGTCATGCGGCACCCAGGTCTCGAACTGCTGAACTACCGACCTTCCACAGCGTCTTAACCACTTGATGCCTACCAAATCCCAATTTAACAGCTGTGAAACAAACCTATACGTTCATTGAGCAGCATCAGGAGTGGAGTTCTGAAGGCAGGCAAGATGAACGGTGTGAGTCACGAGAAAGAGATTTTTATTTTTATTTGTTAATCGTCTTATCCCACCTTACACCGGGCGATGTACAAGGGACATAATGCCATAAAACAAAGACACAAATTTTAAAATTGGTTTTCTGGATCTTAAGATTGGGTTTCTAGATACTCCCAGTCATTGTGCCATGAAGCAGGTGGTCACAGAACCTACGGGGGGGGGGGGGGGCGTGGTCCTAAGTAATGCTCAGAGAAGAGAAGAAGAGATTGGATTTATACCCTGCCCTTCACTCAGAGTCTCAGAGCGGCTTACAAACTCCTTTCCCTTCCCCTCCCCACAACAGACACACTGTGAGGGTGGTGGGGCTGAGAGAGCTCTTGACAGAACTGTCCTTGTGAGAACAGCCCTGACAGAACTATGCTTGCCCAAGGTCATCCAGCTGCTGCAAGTGGAGGAGTGGGGAATCAAACCCAGTTCTCCCAGATCAGAGTCGACGCACTTAACCACGACACCAAACTGGCTCTGGTGAGAGATGTAAACATCAGTGGCAATTAGCCACATGGTATAGACAGGACCTCTTGGTCTGGGGCAAGGGATGCTCTGTCTTCTTGGTGCTGGGGGGGCAACAGTGGGAGGGCTTCAAGTGTCCTGGCCCCTCTGCTGGACCTCCTGATGGCCCCTGGTATTTTTGGCCCCTGTGTGACAGAGTATTGGATTAGATGGGCCACTGGCCTAACATTGGCTTCTCTTATGTTCTTATAATAGCACCAGTTGGGAACAGTGACCATAATGCTATTAAGTTTAGCATTTATGTAAATAGGGAGTTCTTCTGCCAACCGAGCAGTTCGAAAGCAAGAAATTGCAAGTAGATAAATAGCTACCACTTCAGTGGGAAGGTAACAGCGTTCCGTGAGCCTTGGTGTTTAGTCATGCCGACCACATGACCACGGAAACGTCTTCGGACAGCGCTGGCTCTTTGGCTTTGAAACCGAGATGAGCACTGCAACCCTAGAGTCAGATTTGACTGGCTTTCGAGCAAGGGAACCTTTACCTTTTACTTAAATAGGGAGTTGCCAGAAAAGACCAACACAACCATATTTAACTTTAGAAGGGTAACTTCTCTCCAATGAGGGGCACTGTGAAGAAGAAACTGAAAGGTAAGGCGGGTCCAATCACTTTTGGAAACTTGGAGACTATTTAAAACTACAATCCTGGAAGCTCAGATAAACTGTATACCACAGGTTAGGAAAGGTACAAATAAGAATTTAAAAAGGCCTGCGTGGTTAACCAACAAAGTAACGGAAGCAGTAAAAGGTAAGAAGGACTCTAAGCGGTGGAAGGCTAGTCCGAGTGAGGTCAATAAAAGGGAGCGCAGGCTGGGGCCAATAAAATTCAAGTTGGTGATCAGACAGGCAAAAAGGGACTATGAGGAGCATATTGCAAAAAAACCCCCATAAAGACCAACAATAAAAATTTCTTCAAATACATTAGTAGCAGGAAACCAGCCAGGGAGGCAGCGGGTCCCTTGGACGACCAAGGGGTACAAGGATTACTAAAGGATGATAAGGAAATGGCTGAGAAGCTGAATGCATTTTTGTCTCTGTCTTTGCTGGAGAAGAGGGGAGGGGCTTGCCCACTCCAGAACTGCTGACTTTGGGAGGGGTGTTGAAAGACCTGAGTCAGATTGAGGTGACGAGAGAGGAGGTCCTACAACTGATGGACAGATTAAGAAGAGATTGGATTTATACCCCGCCCTTCACTACCCAAAGGAGTCTCAGAGCGGCTTACAAATTCCTTCCCCTTCCCCTCCCCACAACAGACCAGGCCCGGATGGCATACCAGGAGTTCTGAAAGGCCCGGATGGCATACATCCAGGAGTTCGGAAAGAATTCAAATGTGAACTTGTGGTTCTCCTGACAAAAAATATGCAATCTATCACTAAAATCTGTCTCCATTCCCAAGGCCTGGAAAGTAGCTAATGTCACCCCCATCTTTAAAAAATGTTCCGAGAAGATCCAGTAAATTACAGGCCAGTCAGTCTAAGGTCAATATTGGATAAGTTAGTGGAATTCATTGTTGAAGATAGAATTCGTACTAGGCACATTGATGAACAAAATCTATTGAGGAAGAATCAACATGGAATCAATAAGGGAAGGTCTTGTCTCACTAACCTTTCAGAGTTCTCTGAGGGGTTGAAGAAACATGTGGACAAGGGGGACCCAATAGATGCTGTTTACCTAGACTTCCAGAAAGCTTTTGATAAACTTCTTCATCAAAGGCTGCCTAGCAAACTCAGCAGTCATGGGATAAGTGGACAGGTCCTCTTGTGGATTAAAAACTGGTTAATCATGTATGGCTGCGAGAGTTGGACCATAAGGAAGGCCGAGCGCCGAAGAATAGATTCTTTTGAACTATGGTGCTGGAGAAGACTCTTGAGAGTTCCTTGGACTGCAAGGAGATCAAATCAGTCAATCTTAAAAGTAATCAACCCTGACTGTTCCCTGGAAGGCCAGATAATGAAACTGAAGCTCAAAGACTTTGGCCACCCAATGAGAAGGGAGCACTCACTGGAGAAGACCCTGATGCTGGGAAAGATTGAAGGTCAAAGAAGACGGGGACGGCAAAGGATGAGATGGTTAGACAGTGTCATAGATGCAACGAACATGAAATTGAGCCAACTTCAGAGGACGACGGAAGACAGGAGGGCCTGGCGTGATCTGGTCCATGGAGTCGCAAAGAGTCGGACTCGACTGTGCGACTGAACAAAAAAAATCAACAGGAAACAGAGAGTGAGTATAAATGGACAGTTTTCACAGTGGAAGGTGGTAAGCAGTGCCACAGTGGGCTCGGTGCTACGTCAGGTGCTTTAAAACTTGCTCATTAATGATTTGGAGTTGGGAGTAAGCAATGTAGTGGCTAAGTCTGTGGATCACACTAAGTTGTTCAGGGTGGTGAAAACGAGGGAGCAATGCTCCCTCTAAGCTGTGGAGTCTTGCGAGCAAAATTCCTACTTTGTGAGCTACTGGCATTAAAGTTGGGAGCGAGCCATTTGGCTACTGCATAAATTAGTTTGCTCTGGAGCCATCTTTCCTGAGCTAAGACAAAAATGTGTAAGCCGGAGGCTAAAAAACTGTGAGCTAGCTCACACTAACTCAGCTTAGAGGGAACACTGACTGTGAGGCACTCCAGAGGGATCTGTCAATGAACGGTATTCTTGGTGCTGGGGGGGGGCAACAGTGGGAGGGCTTCTAGTGTCCTGGCCCCACTGCTGGACGTCCTGATAGCAAATGGTATTTTTGGCCACTGTGTGACAGTGTTGGACTGGATGGGCCATTGGCCTGCGCCTCATCCAACATTGGCTTCTCTTATGTTCTTATGTTCTGGGCGAGTGGGCATCAACATGGGCAATGAGGTTCAACATGGGCAAGTGCAAAGTAAATGCACATTGAAGCCAAAAATCCTAACTATAAGTACACCTTGATGGGGTCTGAACTGGCAGAGAGTGACCAAGAGAGAGATCTTGGAGTCACTGTAGATAACTCACGGAAAATGTCGAGACATTACGCAACTGCAATAAAAAAGGCCAATGGTATGCTGGGGATTATTCGGAAGGGGACTGAAAACAAATTAACCAGTATCATAATGCCCCTATATAAATCTATGGTGCAGCCTCATTTGGAATACTGCGTACAGCTCTGGTCACCACACCTCAAAAAGGATATTATAGCTTTGGGAAAAGTGCAGAAAAGGGCAACTAGAATGATCAAAGGGTTGGAACCTTTCCCTGTGAAGAAAGGTTGAGGAGCTTGGGGCTTGGAGAAATAACAGCTGGGGGGGTGACATGATCGAGGTTTATAAGATTATGCATGGGATAAAGCAGGCAGAGAAAGAACTCCTTTTCTCCCTTTCTCACAATACAAGAACTTTAGGGCATGCAATGAAACTGATAAGCAGTAGGTTTAGAATTAGGAGCTGCGGTGGCTCAAGTGGTTAAGACGCTGAACTGCAGGCTGTGGAAGGTCGGTACTTCAGCAGTTCGAGACCCGGGTGCCGCATGACCGAGTGAGCTCCCGTCTCTAGTTCCAGCTCCTGCCAACCTAGCAGTTCGAAAGCAAGAAATTGCAAGT